AAAATTTGCAACAAGCTGCAGGAAGACCTTCAAATCAGTTTTCCAGCATGGGTATTTATTTGGCAAAACCATTTCAGCATAGGTGTGAGGTGTCATAATTTGGCAAGAAAAATAGAAAATTTCAAAACTCAAGAGCATCAATATAGAATAGTCTACAAATCAAATGGGAAATTCAGAAGAAAATTATTTTCATAGAATGTAACTTATGGATGCATTGAAGGGAAAGCAAGTTAAGTAAAAATGTTCTGCTGATGAGAAATGGGTTATAAATGTTGATATAGAGTAATTCGGTCTGTTTCAGTACTGAGTGAGTGTTCTGTTCTATGTAATGCCATCTTGGCCATCCAGGACTAGTTTGTAATAGAGTAGGGGTGGTCTTGTCTTCTAGTGAAGCACTTGGTCTCACCTCTAGGTATACTTATGATTAATTTCTGCTTCTCATCCTTGTTAGTTTAACTTTTTTTATTCATTCATGGGATGTGGGTGTTGCTGGCTAGACCAGCATTTATTGCCCATCCCTAATTGCCCTGAGGCAAAGAGTCAACCCCATTGCTGTGGGTCTGGAGTCACATGTAGGCCAAACCAGGTGAGAATGGCAGATTTCCTTCCCAAAAAGGACATCACTGAACCAGATGGATTTTCCTGACAATCGGCAATGGTTTCATGGTCATCATTAGACTCTTAATTCCAGATTATTATTGAATTCAAATTCTGCTGTGGCAGGATTCGAACCCATGGCCCCAGATCATTAGATGGGTCTTTAGATTAATAGTCTAGCAATAATACCACTACGCCATCGCCTACCCCTAAAGATTTTGACCATCACTGTAATAAATCCCTACAGTGTGGAAACAGGCCATTCAGCCCAACAAGGCTGCACCGACTCTCCGAAGAACATCCCACCCAGACTCACCCCTCTACCCTATAACCCTGCACTTCCCGTGGCTAACCCATACATCCCTGGATATGTGGGCAATTTAGCATGGCCAGTCCACCTAACCTGCATATCTTTGGACTGTAGGAGGAAACTGACACAGACACGAAGAGAATGTACAAACTCCACGCAGCCAGTTGCCCAAAGCTGGAATCAAACCCAGGTGCCTAGTGCTGTGAGACAGCAGTGCTAACCACTGAGCCACCGTGCCACCTCTTATGTTTACTAGCTCTGCTATACGGTGACATTCTGACTCTCGTTTCTCAGACTTAAACTGCTTTGTGATGGTGATATTTCGAAGTGTTCAGTGGTATCCACATGGTCTTTCGTAACTGCTTAGTTTCCGTCTTCTGACATTTGACTTAGTTTCTAAACATGAATATTTTATTGTTTATTTCCATAAGATTTGTGTCAGTAACACCATTATTATAGTTCATTTCACAAAAGTAAAATCCTTTTACATATACGATTGAGGTCTTTATTTTTATTATGTGGATTCTCGTTTAGATTTTTGGGAGAAATCTTGGGATTTTGGGATGTGCTTAACTCCCTTCTAATCAAAATGAAACTCATTCCAAGAGCTACCCAGATATTTCTTATTTGGGTCTTGTGGCACAGCTTGTTTATTTTCAGAATTGACATGAGCCAACACCTGACAGGAAATGATTGATTTTAGGCCCAGCTGAATGATACCAGCCATTTTATCATGTTGTGGGGTCCTTGTTTCATGTTTGGCACCATTCCATGATTCTAACACAGCATCCTAATATTCAGTGCTACTGATGTCTTACTTATAAAAAAAAGTATCAGATTTTCTTTCATGCTATGTAATTTCACTCTCTTCCTTTTCCTAATTAAAGTGCATTTGTATTTTCACAAACAATTGGAATGCAATTTGAAAAAGTAGGAAGTTGAAGCTGCTTTCATTGACTTATTCACATAAACCCTGATCTTTTTGATCTCTGCTGGAATTGAGGTAGTGCAGTAAAATTAGGGTTTGTAAGTACTGAAATGGGTGTGGGATCTGTACATGGAGTCGGTCTGAGGATAATCTGACATTGCAGTAGGAGTTTGGAGCATGGGTCTTGGCCAACTTGAAAGGTACAGCATCCCCTACTGTTGTGGGGAAGCAAAGATGAGGAACATTTGGATCCAAACTGCTTCCTCTGTCATATCTGGAATCTGTGCCACTTGTTTTTTTGCCACTGAAGTGTAAAGTTTCTGTTTGTTAGAATTGATTAACCTTAAGGTATGTCATACCTTGTAACTGTCGGGACTACAAAGTCAAATTTAATGTATTATCTAATTTTATAGCTTTCAATAAACAAATTAACTTCTAAAATGTAGGTTAATTCCATTTTTCAAATTATATGTACATTTTTATTCCCATAGTTTTGAAGTTTTTTAACTGAGTAACAGTGATTAGCTTAAAAACATCTATTCTCTAAATACTCTTGACAATGATGAGGTTCTTTGTTTTTTAAACTACTAGTGATGTTCAGATTGTAAGATGAGGAAAAATTTGTAGACTGTGCATCTTCAAAATAAGTGAAGAAATTCAGCAGGCCTGGCAGCATCTGTGGAGAGGAAACAGTTAAAATTTCGAGTGCCTCTTCAGAAGGGTCAGTGGACACCAAATGTTAACTTTAGTTTTTCTTCACATATATTGCCAGACCTGCTGAATTTTTTCAACAATTTCTGTTTTTGTTTGTTTCAGATCTCTGGCATCTGCAGTTCTTTTGTCTCCAATTTGGATCTAAAACACATTAAGTCGTGTATTTAACCTGGTTCACATGAGTTTGGATTTATATAATGCTGTCTGTACCCAAAGGCTAAAGGTGCAGTGTAAAATGTTGAGCCAAACACAATAGCTGTGGGAGTGAAGGAATGTAATCTGTCAGGGGCTTGTTTTGAGTAGAGATGTTCCTGAAGGAGAGAGGTTGTGGTGGAAAACAGTTGAGAAGTTACAGCCTAGCTGGATACTGATTAGCTGTAAGAGATCATAAATGTGGGTGGGGAGAAAAGTGCACAGCTTTAAGCTGCCAAAGGACTGCTCCACATTGAGATTAAGTTACATGTATTAGAAGCAACAGGGGTCATGCACAATTTTTTTATTTCCTAAGGTTGAAGAGATTATCAAGTGCCTTTCAGATTCACAAGGTTAAGATGGTTCCTTTCAATAATAGTGACAGGTAGTGCAAAGGGAGCCACATTCCAGGATGGGGTTGGAAGTGTACAGGAAGTTTTTTTTTAATACTAGCCATCCTAGCAAATGGGAAAACCAGTCAAACCGGTTGGATTGAGGGGAAGATATACAGGTGTAGAGCTGGATGAACACAGCAGGCCAAGCAGCATCAGAGCAGCAGGAAGGCTGACGTTTCGGGCCTAGACCCTTCTTCAGAATTGCGAGGGAGACCACCATGTTGGACCCACAGTTAATATATAACCAGGAAAATAACTCCTATCATTAGGGATAGTGTGTGATGTCTTACTTCATTTTCTTTCACAAGTATAAAAATATAAGTAGGAAATCATTCTGTTGCCCTTGTCTATTGGCCAACTCCTTAACTAATTAGGCAGCTTGATGTTTCATACCGCGTTGTCTAACTCTGTTTTCAACCTATCAACTGAAAGATTGGAGAACCATGTATTATGATCTGTCAGAAAGAGCCAAGATCCCCCTGTGAATGGGGTGTAACAGTTACACTCCAGGTTTCAGTGTTGTAAAATAAACAGCAAATGATATGGTCACATTTATGAAAACAGTGGGCATATGGATGAGTGATCAGTGCTGCAGAAATTAAAGATACAGATTTTGGGTTTATGTAACAAGCTTGCTGTTTATGTTGTCAAGTAAGTGACCCATCTATCCTAGCCATGAAATAGAATGGCTGGTAACCTGGTTAATGGTAGGTTGATGCCAACCTCTAATGAAGCCTTTTACCGCTTACTTTGCTGACCATACATAACACTCGCATACACCCTACCACTGCAACTTGTAACTGAAAAGCTTTAACAGAATATTTTAATGCAGTTTAATCTTGGGGGAAGGTCAAACTTCAGCCACCAATAGTACCAGGCTACTACTTGGCTTATGCGGCAAGATGGCGTTGAATACATGTGCACAGAGCTGAAATGAGGGGCAATGCCACTTCATGGAGGCCCTTCCTGCTTGTGTTGTCCAAAAAGTCACTGAGAAGGTTGTAGAAAACAAAATCAGATATTCTTCAAATTTCGATTAGTACCATCTCTTTCTTGCATTTTGAACCTGTCCTTATTCCCGTCTTTCAAGGGGGGCAAACAGAATCCTTCAATGAATGCTTTAACAGGAGATGTAAATTCTGCAGCAATCACTATACTGTTATTATCAAAAGAAACTGCAACCTGGTGACATTGCATTCTTGTGATGCTTTCAAAGATTGGCAAGGTGAATAATTGAAAGTAGCAGTTAGTAAGCTTGAAGTCAAAGTACTTGAGAGTCTCTGTGCAGGGATGAAGAAAGACCTGAATCAGCTTCCTGTCATTTGGTTTCCTATAGTTTTTCAAATGTAACAGCACAATGTATGGGAACATTGTTGCTATTCAGTTGGAAAGGAAGCACATGCTATCTCTGACAGTGGGAGGGACCATTTTGCCTCCTGGCCAGCCATTGCTCACCTCTGTCCAAGTAGCTCCCATATAGTTAGGGTGCATGGTCCAGTCATATTATTAGATGCTTGGAACTCAGTCTTTGCTCAACAAGTGGACCAAATCTATTGCATCTCCTCTCTTTGTTGCAATCTTTTAATTAGCAAGTCACAATATCAGGGCTATGTGCCCAGAATCAATGGTTGACTTATAGCTGGTGGATAATGCATGCAAGACAGCGGTGATTGATGTAGAATTGAACAGTTGAACACTGACAGTTGCCCTAAAGGAATCCCAGCTCACTAAGAGTAGATTATTGCAGAAACAGCAGTAAACACATACTAGTTCGTCTGATGTGTAGGCTTCACTGGAAGAAACTCTACTCAATGACAGCATCCCTAAAATGGTTCGGAATGTGTTCTCTCCTTTTGCTTCTTAGGGCACACAAGGTAAATCAACTGCGTGACCATTTATGTTCAGAGGCGAAAGGAAGGTTCTATGAAGAAGTTGATATTGCTATCAACAGAGTCCAATTCAGGATTTGAGTGGGATTGGGACTATGAGGGATGGGTCTCCACCTGTGGACATCATGGCCTTGGAAAGAGAAATGGGAATGGAGCAGGACTACCTGAATTTTGCTGTTCTTGCAGCCTGTGCAACCTCATACCTTTCTTCAAAACAAGCCATACCACAAGGTATCCTGGAGATATCCAAGATCAAAGCCTTGGACCAGCTGCGTCTGAACATCAGGCATGAGTCTCTGAACAGCTTTCTCATTAAACACTGCTACCACACCATTTACTGTGATAGAGATCATTCTGTGTGCGCCAAGGTTATGAAACAAACCTTGAAATTTCTTCATTCAAGACAGAAATGTTGTCGTCACAGCAACGTCAGCCAGACCTTTTTACCCAGACTAACTTGTATGTTTCACTTGTACATACGACCTTGGCATTCTCCCAGAGATTGCAGGAGCCAAATGAAACATACTTCAAGGTACCACTCTGATGCTGTACTGTCAACAGATGGGAAATAGGAGTGGTAAAGTGCTAACAGTGTGGAGCTGTTTCCAATAAACAAATAAACCTACTCCACTTCAACTTTTAGGCCCTTAAAATCTGCTGTTTTTCCAGTCTGGGATCTTAATCCTTGACTGACTTTTATTCTTTTCCAATTG